CCCCCCCCCCCCATATAATTCTATTCTTCATTGTACTTGGAGGAGTGAAAGGTTCCTTGTGGAAAGGAATGCAGATCTCATCTCTTCCATGGATTACAGCCTCTCAGAGGTAAGACTTATTAATAAGTCCATAGTCCTGATGAGCATGAGCACTAGGATAACAGTGCATGAGCACAATCCCTTGGATGTTTTGGTTGAAACAACCTGGCTGAGTTGGTTGGAGTAATTCAAGGTTCTTCTCCTGAACACCAGAGTGGTTTCAGATTTGGTTACTGTTCTGACTTCAGTAAAAGTCACCTGTTCAAGCACTAATACCTTAGACTTGGTTTAAGTCTCAAAGCCTGACTTCCATAACTCTTGGAAAAAACTCTTAATTTCTGGAGAACATTTATTAGTGAAGAGGTTATCAGAGGTTGTTAAGAATTTAATTGTATGTAGGGAGGGAGGTAAATTTTTAAAATTTGTTCTTAATGTTGCATTTTAGATCCTATACAGCTTTCAAAGATCTGTCTCTGTACATCTGGTAGAATACATTAATTCTTTGAACATAAAATTATGTTAGAGTTCTTTTGTGATACCAATATGATGGAGAAATCCTGCTGGACATCTCTCTAAGCAGCACTTTGTCTGAAGTAGCTATTATTATTTTTGATATGGATTTTTCAAAAAAAGAGATTCACCCATCTAATAAATATTTTCCCATTTCCACAGCACTTCATTTCTACCTGATGTGACCTGATTAAAAATGTTCTTCGTACAGGATCAGCAATGAGTCAAGTGCACCCTTCCAGAACGCCAAATGGATGACTGTTACTACATGGTTACTCACAAATTGGCAACCTCAATTTGGCGACCTGGTGTCACTGTAAATTAATCATGGCAGCAAAGTGATATTTAGGGAGTGTAATAACCGTAAATGACCTTGGTGTAGTGCCTCTCTCAGGAGAAAGCCAAGCTTTCATTTGCTGTGATCTCAGATTTGAAACTCTTTTCCCCTGTAAAAGCAGCATTAAAAAGTGATATGTAAAACGAAACATCAGGCATAATGTTTATCTGGCAATTCAAAGTTTCTAATTCTTCATTCCATAACAGAACCTGATAAAAACCCAGCAATAATTTCCTTAGAAACAGTAGCCAACACCATGTTTTCTTCTTACTTACAGTATTAATGTCTGGAAAAACAGGAGGTGGCTAAATTTCCTTTTTTTCTATCATAGACTGTTGTCATATTCTCAGGAATTCAACATGCAGCTCTTCAGATAGCACAGAGATGCTTATGACGGCTGACACAGTGAACGAAGTTATATATATATCTGAATATTGGTCAGATTTTGCCGTGCTCGTTCTTGTGAAATAATATTTGATATCAGATATCAGTCTCAACAAGGAAACATTTATGTTTTAGTTTTTTTTTTAATGCTGCAGTAAATATCCTTGCTCACCACCCAAGATGTGATTTTGCATCTAAAACTAGTTATTTTCAATACTATTTTCAATATTGCTTTCAATATTATTTCATATACAGACCATGGCATTCTGTGGCATTTCTCTGATTCATTACTATTGTCTTCACCTGAAGCATTTCTTGAATTCTGTTATTAAGCCTGTAACTATACATTTCCTTTGTGAATGGACATTAAACAGAAACTGGGCAGAGGAGCAGTGGCTAGACATGCTGAAATAATATTTTCAAGTGATGTTTTGAAGCTGTGATTCTACATCCAATGAAATATCTGAGTTCAGTTATCAAGGCACATTATTAACAAAGGAGAGCTGTTCTCAATGGCTCCAGAACATTAATTTTGGCAGGAATCATGAAAATAACCAGGTTTTTCATAAGATAAATACTGCAAAAGAGGGTGAAAACCTGAGTGCATAAAATGTACCTCCATAACTCCCAACAAATGTGGAAGCTGTTCCAGAGACTTCAGTGCAGAAGCAGAAGAGAGCTGAAAAGTATTGGCCAGATGTGGTACAAACACTTGTGCTGGTCATGGAAACCAGGAGGGATAGAGAGATATTAGCGGGTTTGACTGCTCTTTTGTAGAAAGAGTGGCATATATCTCTTACTGATACATGCATCCTGATGTGACTCATGGCATCCACCTGGGATGCCTGGAAACTCTGCTTAGCTACTGCAGTGCACCAGCCTGGGCTCATGTCTTTCAAAGCTCACTAACAAGAAGAGACAACATAAAGAAAGATAAAATCCACATTTTTATTTCTCTCTTCACATTCTTCCTTTATGATGTCCTGTAATAGCCACATGCTCCTCCTAGTTGTCTTTCTCCAAATCCCCAGGCGCTTTTCCTAGATCTGGGACTTAGGAACTAAGCAGTGACTCGTGCTTTTGGACAGATTTGTTCACATGCATCCCAAGGTGGATTCAAGGGGCTAGCAGCATCCCAAACATGCCTCTTTTGTCTGTAAAAAGAATTTCTTTACAGGTTACATAGTAAGACTAGGGAAAAATGGTATGCATTCAGTGTGAAACATTCCCCCGTAAACTGTGGTCCTTGTCAAAATGATTACATGGGGAGATGATGGGGTGGGTGCAGTCAATCAAAGTATCTGTCCATTGACCCATCCATACATCCATGTAAAATGACATTGAATAGGTTTGTAAGGTTTTTTCCTATGTTGTCTTATTTTCACTGAGTTTTTATATTTTATGTATTTGCCTCATTTTTTCCTTTTTTTTTTTTTTGTTTGTTTGTTTGTTTATTTGTTTGTTTATTTTTTGTTGGTTGTTTTTTCTTATTATCTCATTTTTATATTCTTTCTTCATAGGTATTGTCAGTAAAAATGAAAATAAGATTCCAATCCTTGAGTTCCCAAAAGTATCACTGCTCTCCAGATTCATCTGTCACCAGGCATTCAAACCTTTCCACTCCTTGTGTCTACCCAAAAGTACAGGCTACTGCTGCAGACCTGAAAGAAGATTGTCCCCATTGTGGTCCCTGAGCCAATTCCTCCCTCGCTTAGCAGGGATAATCAGATCTTCTCCTCCATTAGGTGATGAATCCACCTTGGGACCTTTGGAGACACCTGCTCACATGCTGGCTCCAGCTCTGCCACAGCCAGGGCCAAGCAAACTTCAAAATTATAACTCACAGAAAACTCATGACAAACAAGGGCAGATGACCACAGCTATCTCTGATAAAGTAACATAAGGTCAAATCTTCAACACAAGATAAGTAGGAATGCTACATTTATTCTCTAGTTATTGTTTTCCAGGCTTTTTTTCCTCCAGTAAGTGTCCCTAAGCTTTGCCAGCCAATAGAAAATGGAGCCGAAATTCCAATTTCTGTTTCATCCCAGTATGGTATCCCCAGAGTGCAATTGCTTCACAAGCTGTCAGTTCCAACACAGGGATGCTAAATGGACCTAAAGAGCTCTCTGAAATCTCAGTATAAATTATCCTTCTGGAGCCGAACCAATGCACATTTTCTGTGTTCACATGCTGACAAACTGTGCACATTTACCCTGACTCACACTTGGGCTTTAATGTCACTTTGACAATCTTGGCTACAAGCTGTGTGTGGACAATTACTTGTTCTCCCCATTTCTGTTTCACTCTCATAAAGAGTTTTCTGAAACACCCCCCAGCTTCATGATTGCTTCAGGCCAGGTGGGGATTTGGACCAAGTGTGGTGGAGAGGGGTCCACCTCACCTTGCCTTGGTGTGGCCATTCCAGCAGTCCTCCTCGACTGACGGACCGGCTGTCACTCTCTCATCCTTGCAGATTGTGTAGGGTAACGTTGACCAGAACTTTTTAGAGAGCTTTAGCTTTTCTTTAATATCAGTTACCTGATTAAAAGACAACGAGAGGGAAAACAGATTAAAAACATCAGCCACCTTAACTATCATGTTCAACAATGCATTGTTTAGGTTTGTAATGGTGATGACAGTGAAGGTTTAAAGGGCTAAAGGTGCTAAAACTTCATCGCCTGTATTTAAAAGCAAGACACTCAGCATTTGAGTTCAGAACATACAAACAATCAAAGCCACCTTTTTCCACAGGCAAGACATTAATAAAAGCATGTTGCATCTTGCTCTACCTAGTCTCCATTTGCCTAAGGTTTTCTAAATAAACATCTTTTTAGGAATTAATATGCCTCGCAGTTTGCTGGATGCGAATTCAGTTAAACAGTGTACATAAGATAAAATGTCTCACCCACCAACCTGGTCACATCTTAAAAAAATACTATATGGAGAGTTACATGCATAGGTTCTTAAAAAATGGTGCAGTGCTGATCTGATGTTGAACTGATTTAAGATACGCAGGCTGAATACATTGCAGTACGTTTAGATCTCAGCAACAGTGAGAAGCCTGTGTATATACACTCATGCAGAGAGTATATCCTTCTTTGCTGTTAGGTATAGATAAATATCTATAGCTGGAAACAGAATCTACATGCAAGGAATGTCAGCACAATATTGAAGCAGTTTCTTTACCTTATAAATTTCTTGAACGATAATTTAATTTGGCATTATTCAGTCAACAAGCAGGAACAAACTGAATTTCCAGCATCAACTTAAAAAATAAATGCATCAACTAAAAAAATAAATGCTCTGACTGAAATTTTATCAGTTCTTGTTTTGTGTTCGGTATTCTAGAGTGGAAAAATCTATCAGAATAGATAGTAAAAACAACAAAGGACAGACTACAAAGGATGAATGCTGCCACTGTTGTTCTTATGGAAACATGCATTTCACATTAAATTGTAATAGGATTTAGGGGAGCTTGTTGAATAGCTTTTAAAGGAAATCGCTAAGCTTTGTTCTTTCAAAAACCAAGATATAAAAGCTCTCCATTCTTCCATTCAGGGTTGAGATTGTCTTTTAGGTTGTTGAGGTACAATATTGTACTCGGCTATTTATCTCTCTTATCTTTTGTTCTCAGGACATGATAGCTCTCCAAGCAAATGGCCCACGCTGCTTTGCCATGCTTAAACTCTGTGGAATGTCATTTTATAAGCCAAGAGATAGAAACAGCTGAGGATGTTATTTCAGAAGCACAGTTGGAATTTTCATCTATAAAAAATAAGTAGGACAGTATTTGGCTGTATGGGTTGTTGACGGTGTTTCTTGCCATGATAGGCACCTGATAAATCTCCTCCACACCCCTTGCCAAGCTCTAGTTGCTTTGTTTTCATATGAGATACTAGCAGCATTTGCAAGCCTTTAAAGTCTCAGTAGGGGAGCCCTGTCAAGCCAAAAATTAAGTTCCAGTTTACAGGCTGTGGGCAAGCCTTTGGCAGAAAGTGGAGATGGTCTCAAGATGCCTGCCATGTCTGATGTCTTTGGCCCATGGGACCAGGGTTTTTGGGCAGCCCCTCTTCTTCCTCTTCTGCCCATGCTGAGCGTAAAAACCCCCCAGTAGGGACTGGGACAACTAACCAGCACAAGCAACTCAGTGAAACTGCCCATTGCTGAGTGTGTAAATTCCTGCTAAGATACAGTGTGGATAAAGAAATCCTACAGAAAATACATGGAGGAGAGTTTATAGGGAGTAGGGTCCATTCATGTAAGCTTGGTGAATGTGAGAGTCAAAGGGTAGATTTTCTTTTTCATTGCTTGTGCCTAGATAACTATTTACACAAGCAATCTGATCGATACTGGTGGTGAGTAATTAGCTTTCAGAGCTTGCTGGAAACTACTTTAAGCTATTGAAAACTCAGATGTTTTAGAGTTACATTCAGATTTTGAACATAATCAAATTAAAACTGGTGCTCTAGGACTTGCAAACTTCTGTTTTGAACCACAAGTGATTCAACACTTTTTGGAAGGGGATTTCCACCCCTTCCCCCACTCCCAGCCCTTCTAAGGGTTGCAGTTTGGAGTATAAACCTTCCATTTTCCTAGAAGCCAGTAAAAGAATGGAGAGAGGTTCTCACAGCTCACACGCTGCACATGCTTTCCAGATATTCCCTCAAAATCAATATGAGGGCTCCCATTCCCCAGTCACTTTCAAAGACATTAAATGATGTTTGCATATTCTATATTAGATAACAAATAATTAACAGTGGGTTTTTTTTATTTGTGTTACAGAAGTACACCTGATAAAGTAATATGGTCTTTACTCAGGATTGTTGGTAAATGACAACTAATTAAATCTCAGGGACATCCTCCTGAGGTGTCATTCTGATTTTAGTGCCTGGGGGGAAAAAGACATTTGCATGACTCACAAAAAGCGTCAATAGTAAAAATGACTACAGCTGAGGGAAATGTTCCTATTTGCAGCCTCTCTACATGCCTTCAATTCAGGTGCATTTTAACAGTTTTTTACCACTTTCAGATATTTCCCTTCACAGCTATCCCCCACTGCCCACCTTCCCTATTGAATTATTTCACCATGGAGTTTTAAACAACTTGTGTGGACCCAGCCTTCAAAGTCTTGCCCTTTCGTGCTGTTTGAGAGCTCTGTCAACCCTCAGCTTTTGGAAGTGGATGTTACATATCTACCTAAGTGGTTTCCTGAACCTCATCCTGAAACTTTCTGGAAGTGCAGTGTGGTGACCGATGGCTTTGAAAAAGGAATTCTGAACGCTGATTGATTCATCTCCTCTTTCAGGGAGTAGCCTGATGGCCATGTTCACTTCTGTATGATGAATGTTCGGGCAGGCAATGACTTTGGAGTACCTTTAATTTAACTTTAAACACAGAATAGAATTAGGTGATGTAATGCCTGCCATGACATTTAAAACTTTTGCCTGTGGGTTTCAGAGGCTTCAGCCCTGGGATCTTGTCAACCACGACCACAGAAATTCTCTTATTAGTCCCCATGGTTACAAATGTTCCTCTGTACATTGTTTTGATCACCACCAGCATTTAAAAAAATATGTAACAGATGTAGAGACCCTTGGAAATGAGATAAAAACCACTAAGGATTCCTTTAACATTGCTTGCTTGTGACTTACAAATTCAGACTACTGTATCCCCCTGGTGACCTGTGGCCTCTTAAATGATTCCTTGGTATTTCCTATTCTTTGAATTAAACATTAACTTTCAAGCTTGGTTAGACTTCTGTGGAAACATTAAACATGAGACATATGCAATTTTGATATTTTACATATTTCCTGTCCACTTTCTCTAGCAGAGATTTATAGGGATTAAGACAGCTGGATCTCTTTGGCTGTAGTTACTCTAACTTTCCCTAGATATCCTCCTGATATAACCCTAATATTATATTGAAATATCTTTTTTTTTTTTTTCCCCAGCTACTTTGAAGGTATGAAGCTTGTTTTGGATCAAAATACCTTCTCATAAGAAAAAAGATATAGCAAGAGCCAAGCAAAGGGTTACATCTTTAATTTATTTAGAGATATATAGAAACGGATATTAAAATAATCTTGCCTTGATGAGTAATTGCTAACAGAAATACGGCATTATGGTGGAAGTGAGAAAAGGTAAATGTTTGCATAATTTGTAAAGAGAAATTCATATCCAGAGTTACAGGAATGGTATAGTTACATGCCCTAAACTGAGAAATACAGTTGATTTCTTATTTCTGCCACTGACTTCTTACGCAATCAAATCAGTCACATTGGTCACACAATTCCTCAGCAGAACATGGAAGGGCACCCATGAGCTCAGATCCTGTCCCACCAGCATGGGCTCAGTTACAAGGTAAATAAAGCTGACCAATATTCCTGTCTTCTTTACTCACCTTGCACTTCAAAGTAATGAAGCAAGCTAAAGCGAGCCTGTCACTTTAGCAGGAATCAGACCTTAACATTGTTTGGTTTATTTCATGACATCTGGATAAACTGAAAGACTGACCAGAAGAATTCAAAAAAAGCATTGAAAATATCATGCAAAACTAAAAGTGAGATGACTAAATTCTATAAGGCTTGAAAGATACCAGGAAAACATTTGCTTGTGATCTGGTAATTCCATTGCCAATGGAATCACTTTGACTTAATTTCTGATGGAAACATGCTTCTTTGGCAGTGTGATAATGTGTGCTCAGAAGCAATGAGGGACAAACCCCAAATTTTAACAGTGGGGGCCCTAAAATAATTTTAAAAAATTAAATTCCTTTTATTCCTCCCTCCTCCTCATCTGCCAAGTCCTCCTCTGGCAAGTCTATGTCTTATTCCATCCAGATGTATCATCCCCACCAATATAATCCCTACTCTCACAGATAGAGGAACATCACAGGATGCTAAAATAGTGTTCAAAGATGGTGGAATGCATCCAAACCTGACACAGGTTTGATACCATAAATGAAATCAAATACTATGGAATCTTATTTTTGTTAAGAAGAAATGGTGCTCATTAACATCCTTTTCTTCTCCTTGGTGTTTTTGCATTGCATTTTTTTTCTTGTTTATTCTGCAATTTGGAAAGACTTTCTTACTGAAATGCGAGCAGAATATTCATCTTCCCTTTCTGTCAATACCTGCTGCCTGTGATGCTCAGAAACAACTCGATTCAAAGCCCCATTAAGAGTTAAGCCTTTATGACCTGGAAAAATGTACAAATGTTTCTGGTTTTTCACTGGACATTGTTTCTCTGGTATGCCGGGGTGCCATTCTGGTTGCTGAACCATGGGTTGGTTATCTGGCAGCATAGACACTTGGTAGATGTTTCAAGTGGATGTTTGTGACAAGGTAATTTCAGGGACTTCAGGCTGCGTATGTAAAATGTATCCTACTAGTGTGTCACACTGACAGAACAGCTACAGACAGCAAGTAGAAAGCGGCCTGGCGTTTTGTCTTAGAGAACAGACATGAAAGCAGCCATCACAAACCATGCTCATGTCTGTGTAGTTTCTTTAGTCACATACTCCTTTGCCTTTCAAT